AGGAATGTCTTATGCTTAGCTGACAATAGGTATCTGAATTTCAATGGAAAACTAATGCAAAACTCAGGGTAACTGTAATGGCTTACAGCATTGAGTCAATGTGTTACTAGATCTTTGGTATCAATCCTACTAGTTTCTGGTTGGGTGTAAATAACCACCAGAAGGTACCACACTAAAAGACGCTTGATGCTGTCCTCTTTAGTAAATGTTTAGTGTATGAACCACCGGGGAGAAACAGTGAGAAGGTTCTGGCATTCCCTCTGGTACTGCAACAAATCTCTTAGCAACATAGAAACATGGAAAATCTCCTCTCTAAGGAGCTGTGCCCAGCGACCTCGGTTTACAGCTCAGAACTCAGACATGTACCTCACAACTGGGCCACACACAAAACAGAGGAAATTGATATTTCCAATAACTGAGCTATTTAGTATTCCCTCTCAAATGCGTTGCACAGATTTTGTAAAACAAAAAACTAGTTTGTTAACATTTCTCTAAACACATAAAGAGTATGCCCAAATGTGTCACCACGTGGTTCTCGCCAGATCTAACTCCCAGTGATTAGGTATGTGGTTGTCTTCAGAGGATGCATTTGTCTACAGCGCTCTTTCAGAGGACACAGGCTCAGATAAGTGCTGATATCATCCGTGTTATACATTGTTAGCTTTTGAATGGCAGATGATCAGAAGAAGAGAGTGAAGCATTCTGGAAAGCTTTACAAAATACACTTTCTTCATGTCACCATTTGTTCCGAGAAGTTTGTCCTGACCCTCCATTTGAATAGGGAGTGCAGTAGTGGCACTGGATTCTACCATAACATTTCTACCACAGCCATCTCTGCAAGTAATACCTTATGGCAAGGTGAGCTTATATTTTAACTCATGTGTTGAAGTGAGCATACTTTTGGTGGAATGCTTTAGTAATAGAATTCTGTGAGATATTGAAGTGAGGTTTGTGTTTCTCTACTGTTTCCATTAAGTGTCACACTATTTGGAATTCCGCCTGTATCCATCCACTTGTATCCATCCACCTCCAGTCATATCAATGAACTGTGTCATACTTTGAATAAATAAATCTTTATTGTACACAATACATTCTAGAGATTTCTCAGATTATTTCGTTAATTCTTCAAACAAAAAAATCATTTTTTTATTTTGATATTTTTTTTGTTTGAAGTATTAGAAGTCAACTATAAGTTTCAGTTACACCAGGCTCTTTTACTAAGCTATATCCTTGGAAGTGAAAATAGATCTTCTTAAACATTCATAAAAATGTGTATGGAATCCCATGTCTCAAGTTACCTGTCTCAAGTTACAATTTCTTTAGATTAGTAGAATTGATTTCTTTAGGTACTAAATGAAACATTTTAAAGTATTAAATGTAAATGTTTCAATTTCTAAGAGCTAAAAAGAAATAACCATCTTACTTATTTATAACATTTAAATAATATATCCTAAATTCTTTCATTATAAAATTGTACCATTATTAAATAATGTATAGTTTTTATCCTTCTTGGACACACACAACACCAATTTATTAGCTGATGGACTATTCTTTATAAAAATATTTTTAAAGGTCCTGCTTGTCTGTTGTCTGTTGGTGGTCTGTTCATTTCTGAAGAGGAAATGAAGGGAGATTAGATCTGGGAGAGAGGGGATATGAGGGAGAAAGGGGAGGAGTGAAGGATGGGAAACAATAGTTTGGAAGCATAGTGTGAGAGAAGAATCTATTTTCAATAAAAAAAATAAAAATAAGAATAATTTAAAACATTTATAAGTCTTTTAATATGGTAGTTTGAATGAAAATGATCCCCAAGGCTCATACATTTGAATGCTGGGTACTCAGCAGGAGGAACTGTTTGGGAAGGATTAGAAGGTGTGGCCTGGTTAGAAGAGGCATGTCACTGGGGTAGGTTTTGAGGTTTCAAAAGCCCATGGCATTCAGTTAGCCTTTCCTGCCCTAGGTCTGCCTACTGGTTGTTGTCTCAATTTGTGAGTTTTAAGCTATTGCTTCTACACCATAGCTGCCTGTCTGCTGCTGCCATTCTCCTTGCCATGATGGATTTGGACTCTAACCTTGTAAAACTTTAAGTTCTCAGTAAACTCTTTCTTCTATACATTGCCTTGGTCATGGTATCCACGGCAGCAGAAAGGTAACTAAGACATGTAAACACTACGAAGTCCTAATGGCAAAGCACTGAATCCAAACATCCTAATTTAAAGTTTATAGCACTTATTTGGAGACAGGGTGTGTTAAAATTTATTCCAATGTAATATTTACAATTTTCTGTTCTTGCATTTTAAGATATTTTATATTAGAAATATAAAATAGTGCAAGATAATTATAAAATGGCATTGGATCCCATGACGTAAATAACTCAAATAGCAAGGTCATTGTACAAGTCAGATTCCAGATGCTTGTATTGTATCATCTGAGCCTATTTAAACTTATTGGCAATATATAGATACTTAGTGTCCACATTTTATGTGTAATAAATGTCTACAAATCTGTAAAATGATCCGTAAAATGTAGCTTCCATATTTCACGATTCAGGTGATGGCTACACATCCTTTTCCCATAACCTTCTAAGCCAAAGGGGAATTTGATACATTTGTGCTTCAAAATGTTTTGAAATTTTCAGTTATCTTTATTTAAAATTACAAGTGAATGTACTACATTCTTACATCTTTTGCTTTCTCAATTAAGCAAGCTAGGTCACATACTGTGTTGTGTCTGTCGCCATCTTGTGGTGATGAGAAATATTGCTACACACTAGTGTTAAATGTTGAATATTCTTAGAAGTAGATGGGTTTTGGAGTTTTACTTCAAGATACTAGAAATAAAGACTTTGAAATTGCAGAAATAAAGACACTTCATACGTATGTTTTTCAAAAGTTTTAGACCACTTCTCAACATCTTTTCTAGTACTAATTATGTATGTGTATTGAAACTATTATAGTATTTACATAGTATCACATAAATACACACACATACACATATGCACACATATGTGTATTTATTCGCCATATAATATTAGCACCATATAATATTATTCATCATACTTTAACACGAATGTTTTAAATAAATAGTTGTAGTCCCTTCAGTACACCTCTGTTTTTAAGCTGCCTCTAGAAACTATATATAATATATTTAAAAAACTAGCTTGAACTTATAGAACCATAGATATGTATAATTTTATTCTAAGTTCAAAAATGAGGGAAAATGTTTATTTCCATCTGAAGTGTCCATTTCCTACTTCCTTTCTTACCCAAATAGTAAAACCTTTAGTAATATACTTTCATTTTAATAAGGGGAAAAACAATGTTCAAAATTGCCGAGTCTGTAAAAGAAGAGTAATTCAACTTGGGTTTTTGAAAAGTAGCTGTATGTGTGGTATAAAGTATCATACAAAAATCAAATCTCTTTTGGGTTGATCCCTACAGAGAATGTTGTATTTTTCCTTGTTTCAGAGTGTTCATCTGAATCATGTAAGGGTTAAGATAGCAAATGAAGAATGTGAAAAGCAGTTTGATTTCAGAATATTCTGAAAGCTAATTGGGCTCACTGCTATGCCAGCAGTAACTTTGTGATTCAACTTTTGAACTTGCTAAGTCATTATGAATCATTGAACGCTCAGTCACTTGTCTACAAAAGGAGACTTTATTTCTTAATTTTAAAGCCTTACACTTCAAAATATATACCATATTTCCTTGTCCCTCCTCACCACTGGGCTTAAAAGTGGCCGGTATTTCAGGGATTTGCTACTTTGCTTTCTAGGGATTATAATCTTCTAAAATTTGCCTCAGTCAAGAGGAAATACTGTCACAGAAAGCATCTCGCTCAAGATTGTACTTCTCCATGTATGTCTGAATAAGAGAACCCTGTCTATGTGCATAACAAGTGGTGATCATCTAACCTACACAAAATAGCTCATGCTTGGTTTAATTATTAAAATTAAACTTTTTAATAGTTTTACTGACTAAAGACAGAAGTCACTTCTTAATTTCACATACTCTCCTATATATAGGGTACTATGAACAGAAATGGTAAGCCTTACTGATTTACAAACACTGTTCTAGCAGCTGCAGTTATTTACAAAGCATAGCTTCTTGGCTTCCCCAGGATTTGGCTATAACCTGCACATCCATTCTACTGGTCCCTGATCCAAAAGAGAGTACTCTAAGCCAGTGTCTTTTAAAATGTAAGTTTTGCATATCTTATAGAACTTTGTGACAACAATCTACCATTCATGTCTTTTTCACTCATTCATTTTTGTGTTTTTATATTTCTATTAAGTATTTTTTTTAAGAAAACATAGATAGGGATAATTTTATGCTTAGGGAAAGCTGAGGTTGTAATATTTCCAATGACTGCTTCTTTCAAAAACAGATGTTGATCAGAAACATATATCCGTGATTTGTAGTTCTTATTGTTTTGAAACATGGACACGCTCCACCATCTTGCTTAGTTGGGGACTAACTGTGCAGCCCACACTGGCCTCAAACATGGCAGCAGCCCTCCTACCTTACCCTCCTGGTACAGAGATGGCAGGTATCGCTACCATAGCCTGATCATTGTGGCTCATTTTTGGATGAATCCACCCTAACCACTTACATTTTGTCACGAATGTTAACTGACGTAAGGACTCAAGTCAATTCGAGATAGCATTTTGATTTTAGGATGAAAATTTGTAAAACATGAAAGACATAAGAAAATGCTATTTATATGCATCTGGGGATAACTAATTTTTGTGAAACAGATTTTACACTCGGCTCTATAATTAACAATCTATTTTAAAGTATAGAGTTCATTCGCTTAAAACATTCTGCAGAATGGAAAGGTCCAGAAGGAAACCGGAATTCACGATGGTGGGGATTGAAAAACTTCTCTGATAACATTCCGGTCCCCAGGCTGTTCCACGGTTCATCTATTGAAATCAGTGTGCCAATTCACCAAACATGCATTAGACTCGGGGCTGGATGATGCGACAGATATACACTTACCTTTTTCATTTCCATTTGCATAATTTGGAGGCTTGTTTTTGTCAATGCTGTTAAAGCTCTGACTTCTCCTGTTTAGATTGGAGGCGCCCTGAGCCTTGTTGCTGCTGCTCGCAGCTGGCACCCTAGAGGGCCCGGGAAGCCTGAAATAGCATGAGAAACATTACATCATTAGTGTATACTTCAGAAGTTAAGGCGAAGAGATGTGTGGGAGGGTAGCCACAATACAGGATCAATATGACGTACTTAACAGCAAATGATAGTTTGAGTGACACAAACAGCTGGACACAAAGTAAGAGACTGTCAGAAAAAAAATCCAGTCATGCTTCTTAATAAGAATGTCCTCAAAATAGGAAAAAATAAAAAAAGTGGCCTTTAACTATAAAAAAAAAAAACCTTACTTAAGTGAATAGAGTTGAAATTAAAAACACCATAAAATTATATGACAAGGAAAAACAATAATATTTAACCTTATAAAGTTTCAATAATATTGTTTAGCTATATGCAGTTGCTTAAATTTTCCTTTCAGTGTATGGAACATATTTTTTCATCTAACATAAGTTTTCCAGAGACTTAAGAACACATTATTGAACAAAAGTCAAACAACAATTAATTGATTGACTAACTAAGCTACTAAGTTATGTTAAAACTTGATGCCATAAACCAGGTCATGATTATCTTATATATAGCTGGGCTGTCTCACAAATATCTTCCATTCTTAGGTCAAAAAGAGGACTGAGATTTTTCACTGGTGGCCACCTTGTCCCATAGGACAGGAACAGGATGCTAGCCTCCGAGGAAGAAAATTACTGTTAGTAGAATGACAGTTGAAATATACCTAGAGTAAAGGCAGTTTTTCCACAGTGTGTGTATGCAGAACAAGTCGTGTGACAATTACCCAATTTCTCTTATCAACAGAGTAGCTTGAGGCTTGAAACCTGACACTATTTTATTAGTACTACCATTAAGTTTCAGTTTGGCTCAGGTTACATTTTAATTTTTTTTCCTTTAAAATTTCATTTGTCAATTATTTCGTGAACTGTACCTATTTTTTCAGTTTACATTACTATTGTGTCAAGCCACAGAAAGTAAAACCTAGAGCTTTTGACATGTGTGCTATGAAGAGTGAAGGTACAGTGGGCATGTGCTGCCACCATGTGAATGAGACTGTACACTGCTCTGAAAAATTCCTATCTGAACAGAAAGATGAATTCATCCAAAACCTAAGAAATACAGTGCAGATCTTTCCACAGATTTTTTTAATGAAAATTTTAAAATAGTTTTTTTGTCTATGTTTTATGTTCAAATTGCCAGTCTATTTAACACGATTGGTTTCAACAAGTCTCCTCTGTACTACCTGACTTGAGAAGGCAAACCCTGAAAACAAAAGTATCTTTTATAACAGTAGAATCACACAATGCAATGAGCTTCAGGAAAATACAAGTAATAAATGGACTGATGTTACAGACAATTAAGAGTTTCTTTTCTTAATATACTGTAGAGAATAAACACATATGGCTAATAAATAGTCTCTTCAGCTATTTGGCTGGCTAGAGGTTGTCATGCACAAGATTAGAATCTTTTCCAAATGGATCCAGCTCTTACTTTTTTTTTCTCAAAGAGCTCAACAAGGGGTTCTAACTCCAACATCATAACCACAGACACTAGGAATTTACAGTACCAGTGACTACTCCCCACAGAAAGCAGTCAAGTAATTAATTGGACCAAATGTCCCAATCCCAATAAATATGAGAGCAATTTCTGTAGACATAACCATAGACTTTGAAATTCATTCCAAACTCATGTGTAAACAGTTTGTCCTCAAACTTGCCCCATTTGCAATGAAACTTGACCCACTTCTAGAAAGCAATTAAGATGCATTTTAATCTTTCCTGTGACCCAGGAAGCTAAGTGATCTTCAGTCTTCAGAAGAACAAATTAAAACAAATTAAAAGATACATTTGCTCTTCTCATTACCCTAATTGGCCAGGCAGCCAGAGCCTCCAGATCATTCATCAAAGCAATAAAAAGGGAAATGAGATGAAGGGAGGAAGAGAGAGAGAGAGAGAGAGAGAGAGAGAGAGAGAGAGAGAGAGAGAGAATGTGACAGAGAAAAGCTCTATTAGAACAAAGGACATAGAATGATAGAATGTGTCTTATATCTCCTATATGTATAGGAGTCATAAGGGTGCTCATTGTTCACAGCACGTCACTGTGCTTAAGTAAAGTAATTTATGCCATTTATTGTTATTTTAAACATTATTCTCTCCAGAATAAGTTTTTACTGTTGTGGAAATTCATATAAAAAAACAAGGCCAGGTTTAGACACTCATGAAATAAAGGTACCAGAAGCCATTATGAGGAAGCATAGGGCAGCCTGATTCATGACAGAAGCAGTGCTAACGTTCTGACTCTCCACAGCTCCCCAGGGAATGTGAACCTACACAGCAGCACATAGAGTGGGCAGACCATTGTGTTGGATCCACCCAGCAGGTTTGAACTACCATCATCCCTTTCTATCAGTAACATGAACAACAAAAATACACTTCAAATATTTTATATATCATTTGTGAATATCTTTAAATGCATATGTTATAAAAGCAGAAATTTAGGTTATGATAAATAGACTACCATCCTAAGTTAATGTCTCCATCCATGCCCAGTTCAAAAGTTGGTAAATATTGTGTTGTGAGACTTTCAGATCCTGAGAACTTGAAAAAGATCAGAGGTCTTGCAAGGTCCTTGTTCCTCACTTGCTCTAAGCCTAGGACACAGCCTTTGCCCACCATATCACTGTGTATTACTAATTATCAATAATTATGCCATTTATTGTTATTTTAAACATTATTCTCTCCAGAATAAGTTTTTACTGTTGTGGAAATTCATATAAAAAAACAAGGCCAGGTTAAGACACTCATGAAATAAAGGTATCAGAAGCCATTATGAGGGAGCATAGGGCAGCCTGATTCATGACAGAAGCAGTGCTAACGTTCTGACTCTCCACAGCTCCCCAGGGAATGTGATGAGGCAAAAGCCAGACATCTAGCCCAACTAACCGCCTAATACACTCACCCCACAGTCTCCATCTGGAAATCCATTTGGAAGCACTGAGTGCTCTAAACTTAGTACTCTCAGAAGTATGTCATGTTTACAAAATTTAGAGTGATTGGACAAGTATCACTGGCATTCACGTGAATATGACTAACAAACAATAGATTAGAGACATGAACTGACCTAGTAGGCTTTTTCTGACTGGTTGCAATTCCACTGTGTTTAGACTGAGCTGCATATCTGGCTGTCAGACTGTATGAGGAGAAACAGAGAAATTGAATTAAAGGAATCCGTTGAACATGGGAAGAAAGTACAACAAACTTACAACAAAGTCATGAGCTAATGAAATGCAATTGGAACACACAGAAACATATATGAAGAACAGATTAATCAGGGAATTATGGTAATGCAACACATACACCATGAGTTTCACTTATGAATGCCCTGTGAATGCAGCACAGCTCTCTTGACAAAGCGTCTCATTGCTGATGTTAAAGTTATGCTGAGAAATATTAGACATTATAAATACTTAATAATGTTATTTTATATTATAGAACCTTAACCTTGGACTGTTAAAACTTAAAAAAAAAACTAAAATTTCATTTACAGGCTAAAATTCCCTTTTCCAGAATAGTTAAAGGAAGAGATGATGTGATGAAATCTCTAATTTGCTCTTCTGAAGCAAATATTTTGAAAAGCAATTCATTAAAAACTGAGTTCATGACCCATACATTATTGTTAATACCTAATAGCACATAATTTTTACAAGAAGTTTATAATACAATATTTTTATTGAACGAAAGCTGTGTACAAAAGTTTAATATTGAATAGAATTAATTTCTGACAAAAAGGAAAACCTTAAAGTTTGTTTTTTGTTGTTGTTGTTGTTTTTTGTTTGTTTGTTTTTCGAGACAGGGTTTCTCTGTGTAGCCCTGGCTGTCCTGGAACTCACTCTGTAGACCAGGCTGGCCTCGAACTCAGAAATCCGCCTGCCTCTGCCTCCCAAGTGCTGGGATTAAAGGCGTGCGCCACCACCGCCCGGCAAAATGTGTAGCCCAGGCTGGCCTCGAACTCGTGATCCTCCTGCCTCTGCCTCCTTCAGCAAATCCTACCGGTGTGTGCCACCACTACCAGCCTTAAAGTTTGATAATGACTAAACATTTTTAATCATATTTAACTATTTAAGAGAGAGAGTGTGTGTGTGTGTGTGTGTGTGTGTTTTACCAGTTCTTTTATGTCATACAGCACATGTGATATCAGAGAATAATTCTGGGATTGGCTTTTTTTTGTCACCTTGTAAACCTGGGATTTGAATTTAGGAGGTTTTCCAATCTGTACACTAGTGACTATATCCACTGATACATTCCACTATCCCCATAGGCACAAGGATTTGAACTTAGAAATTCTTCCAATCTGAATACTAGTGCCTATATACACTGATGCACCACAGTAGTCCCACAGTCATTTTTTTTTAAAAAAAATATTTCCCTCAAATAAATGTAAGGCATGATTATTTAAACCAAGTTTGAAGAGTAACACTTGATCTGCAAAACACAAATTTGTACCTTAAATTGATGTCTATGTTGCTAAAGTTGAAGACATACTGTTTAGAAGAAAAGACTTAGACTCTATAGATCCAACTGCCTGTTGGTATGCCCATTGTAGCTAAGGGTAGATGCCTTCATGGAAAATAAGTTCCCAGGGAAATTACTGTATCTCTATGTAACCATATGTAGAATACTTGAACAGTCTTTCGAAGTTGCAAGGATCTTGGAATAGCATAGAGGTGCTACCATCAGTATGAAGGGTCATTGGAACCTTATTGCAATTGATCAACTTGCTCTGTTGCTAAGCAAAGAAGATATAGGCAAGAGAAACGCTTCTTCTGGTAGTATGCTTTGTTCTCTGTCTGCACCCACCTGCATTGTGAATGTGCATGGCCTTATTGCAGTCTGAAGTAAAGGGAACACATTCGCATCTGGAAGGTGTTTTCATGGTGATAGAGAACATGTTTTTCACATCCCATGTTTTATACATTGCTATTTATGTACAAAACAATCTGTATTTTAACTATACCATGAACTGAGACAAGTGCTAAGCTACTAGGGTGTCAACAAAATCATAGAATAAATGTTAAAGAAAAAGCCGTTTCAATATAAATCAGGTAGAAATTAAATAAATAAATAAAATCTCAAAAGCAAGTTGAAGAAATCTCTTGACCCCCAGGAAAAGGACCACCTACAATTTAGAGACTTGTTCTTATACTTCCTGTACTGAACATAGACAAGATTAGTGAACGTGATAACAAAACAGCAGGCTTTCCAGTAACTAAAAGCTAGCTCATCATTTCAATAAATTATGTTTAAAAAAATAACATGATTCTGGCCATTCTATTATAAAAAGGCAACAGCAAGTTCCGGCAATATTAAATGATTTTTGCCAAAGTCTGTTTGGCTTCATGGCTGTATTTCTGATTGACTGTGAAAGTATGTTTTAACATACTGACTAGTTTTGCAAAAATAACTCTTAATTCATTCAATTTCTTGATAATTGGCATCTTCCATTTATCTTTTGCCTTTGTTAAACAATTGCATGTACTGCTCCTCTTTTGTTCTGCTTGGTTTTCTGAGCCACGGTCACTCTATATAGTTCATGGAGGCCTGGTACATGGTGTTGTAGCTCAGACTGGCCTCTAAGCCATGAGCCTCCTCTGTCAGTGTCCTAAAGGCTGGGGTTATAAGTAAGCCCTATTGAGAAGATGTGGGAGACTATTATCATGGACATTGCTGGGGTTCTGTTCATTGCACGACTTTCTAATATCTTGGTATCTACTGTGTTCTCTATTTGTTACATCTTTTCCCGTCACAGCTACCTGACCCATACACCAACACTCTTGTCAACTTCTCTTATTTTTATTCCATATCTTCCCCTCAACTCTTAACGGCATGATCTGCTCAACTCAGAATATGGCCTTCTTCCTCAAACAAGTCATCTCTTCACTTCTGATTAAGAGTCTATCTAGATTTCCTGCATTAACTTTGCATGGCAACATTTATATCAGGTATCTAAAAAACTTGCACAACGGCATCATCTTTAAGCTCACCCACCACAACAAACTCACAATTTGTCTTCATTCACCTCCAAAGCTCCAACATGTTTTCTCTATTACTCATTTATTTTATTCATAATATCGTTATTTATTCTGTGCGCTTATAAATGGCCTTTCCCTTTCCCACTAACTCCCTGAAGATGAGTCACTATGTAGTCATGCCGTTAGACTACCAACCAACCTGCCCTTAAGTTCTCCTTCAATCCTCATGTCTATTAAACTGCTTCATTCCCTCAGCGCTTTTATAACACACAGCTGACCAATCACATTGGCATCACCTGAGACTTATAAGAAACATACAATCTCAAGTCCCAACCCAGGCATCTTGAATCTGAACTCGTATTACAACAGGGCCCTCATTATTTTCTCTGTATAGTAAAACTTACTTCCACAGTGAATTATACGCTCATTTTAATCACTCTTCTACAAATAAACCCTATAAATACTTTGAGAAAAATGTACTCCTTAGCACTGAATAAATAAGACAGAAGCTTTCCATTAGTAAGTTTTTAAAGGGAAAAAATACACATAGCTACTGGGATAATAGTACTTAGTACTATGGCCTCTCATTAAAATAAGATTGCATCCATTCATTGACTAAAACAACATATGGATTATTTTAAAAGGTGCATAGTGACCACCAGCCATGTATCTATTCAACACCTGAAAGGTTTAATTTATTAAAGTTAGGATTAAATGGCAATAAATGGCACTTTACTTATAGAAATACATTCCCTAAAGCCATGCACGTTAACCTACAATTTCATCATAAAATGTATAGCTGGATATACAATGGAAATTACATTTATTTCAAGCTTATATATAGAAACACATAAATAAAAGTTAGGTGGGCAAAGAGTGATGTGTGAAATGTTTACTGTCAGTGTATAACCTAAAAGTCCAGGAGTAAAGCGTTAGTACATTGTTCATAACTCAGATGCTGGAGGTAGACCACTACGGCTGCCTCTTCAGTCACCTACTCTCTCTGCCTGGTACTCCATCTGTTAATGACCTGGATAAGTTTATGTACACAAAGTTTTTTATAAGAACTTAATTATACATAATTTAGAATGAGTGTCTAGGACAAATACGTCATATAATAACTGAAACCAAAATGTAACGGAATTCATACTCAAATTGAAGAATTCCAGGAGGATTCTGATGAATCCTGTAAAACATAATTTCTCAAACATGAGCCTGTCTCCAGATGCTTCATTATTTTCCCCAAACCACATCCTCTGGTTTTTTTTTTCTGCAGTCACTTGGATGTTACAGTATTCTTACTCAAGAGTTCATATGTATAGTACTTCCTGCTCAATGTCTGAGGCTTCAAATATGGTTCTTGGTCCCTAATGTGACCACCTTCCAACATTATAGGATATTATTTACTCTTACTAATACCTGAAGTCAGAACTATGATCCCCTAAAGGACCTTGATCTACAATGAATCTGCTTCAAGAGGTCCTAAGAACTATGACTTCCAAAGTCGACCCTGAATCTATTACATAATCTAATGGTGCCATAGTTTCAACACTATGTTTTGTTTTATGCTATAGAGATTAAATGAAAACATTTTGATATGTAGTAAAGTAAAACACATTTATAAAATAGTATATTTCAACAAGTTTCATATGCTTATAAAGATTTTGTGTTCCAAAATTCACAAATAGTTTAAAGGGCTAGGATAAAATACCTCAGAGGATAGGATGTCCCTTGGCAGAGCAATTTACTTTACATAGGTAGAAAAAAAGAAACCCTTTCTAGTGCAGAATAAAAAAAGAAGAATGTCTCTGTTAGATTTTCTTCTTCATTAATGTTTGTGACCTCCAAGTTCTGTGCTGAGTTGTCTGTTATTCTCTTTGTTTTCCACTCACTCCCTAAGTAAATTCTTCTTGTTTTAATTCCATATTCACTGATGTTTGTGACTCCCTGAGTTCATTTCTCCATGACTCAAAAGGTCCCAGAGCAGTTCTCCTCAATGTTCAGAAATCAGTCTCAGCTTATTAGATGTGAAATTCCCAACAACTGTAGCTTGATGTTTGCTCTCCTTCCTCAGCCTTAACTACCATCATACCCTGGACCAATTTCAAAGTAGAACACTCACTTGATATACCTTCCAGTGAAAGAACCCTAGCCCTAGCTT